TGAACATGTGTCTGTGGTTCTAAAGTCTTATACTGAACATGTGTCTGTGGTTCTAAAGTCTTATACTGAACATGTGTCTGTGGTTCTAAAGTTTAAAACAGCTAAAGGGTTGTTGATGTTATGTGTCATATCTATATCTTTTACTAAACGTAGTTGTGGCTCCCCCCTGGACTGCCACCTTAACGTGGTGGGGGAGTTTGAGTACTCGGGTGATCCTGGGAGCTATGCTGTCTGGGGCTTCATGCCTCTGGTAGGATCTCCCATGGCAGACAGGTCTCGGGTGACGAGTCAGACGAGGAGCAGTCCGAAGCCAACCAGGGACAGCACTAAAATGAGAGCAGTGACGTCGCCCGGCATGGCGCAGCCGGGGCCCCACCCTGGAGCCAGGCCTGGGGTCGGGGCTTGCAAGCGAGCGCCTGGTGGCTCAGCCCTAAGGGTCGACGTGGGCAGTCCCTCCTGTGGGCCCACCACCCGCAGAGAGGTCTGTGGTGGTCAGGTGCAGAGAGGACTGGGAAGCGGTCGAAGGCTTAGACCTCGGCAACCCGGTCCGCACACACAACATCTGGCTCTTGGGACGTGAAACGTCACCTAACTGGGGGGGAAAGAGCCCGAGCTCGTGGGGGAGGTTGAGAGATACCGACTAGAGATAATTGACCTCACCTCCACACACAGCTTGGGCTCTGGAGCCCAACTCCTTGAGAGGGGTTGGACGCTCCTCTTTTCTGGTGTTTCTCGCGGGGAGAGGCGGCGAGCTGGGGTGGCCATACTCATTGCCCCCCATCTCAGCCGCCACGTGTTGGAGTTCTCCCCGGTGAATGAAAGGGTCGCGTCCTTCCGCCTTTTGGAGGCGGGACTTTGTCTTTGGGTGGGGAACAAGTCTCTCACTGTTGTGACGGCCTATGGGCCTAACAGCAGTGCAGAGTACTCGGCCTTCTTGGAGTCCTTGGGGGGTGTACTGGACGGTGCACCGCCCGGGGACTCCATTATTCTCCTGGGGGACTTCAACGCCCATGTGGGAAATGCCAGTGACACTTGGAGAGGGGAAGAACGGTCCCCCTGATCTGAACCCGAGCGGTGTTCAGTTCGGTTTGTCCATCATGAACACCATGTTCGAGCACAAGGGTGTCCACCGGTGCACGTGGCACCAGGACACCCTAGGCCGTACTGTAGGTTGATGATCGACTTTGTTGTATCATCTGACCTTCGACCGCGTGTCTGGGACACTCGGGTGAAGAGAGGGGCGGAGCTGTCAACCGATCACCACATGGTCGTGAGTTGGATCCGCTGGCAGGGGAAGAAGCCGGTCAGACCTGGCAGACCCAAGTGTGTAGTGAGGGTCTGCTGGGAACGGCTCGCTGAGCCCCCTGTCAGACGGACTTTCTACTCGCACCTCCGGGAGAGCTTCTCCCAGGTCACGGCGGAGGAGGGGGATTTCGAGTCCGAGTGGACCATGATCTCTTCCTCTATCGCCGATGCGGCAGCTCGTAGCTGTGGTCGCAGAGAAAGGTATTTTTCTGAAATGATTGAAGGCTGCAGTAACAACCTGCGTGTTCTGTTTTCAACAGTTAATAGATTACAAACCCCCCGTTCAGATGCCATTAGAGATAACTTCCAAACGTAAATGCAATGAGTTTGCACACTTTTTCAATGACAAGGTTCAAGGCATCAAAAACGCCATTGTCTCCAATCCACAGATAACAATCCAACAGCCAGAAAGGCTCTTTGAGCTAACTCACTTTGCACCTGTAAATGATCAAACTGTCCAAGAGATAATCTCCAGTTTGAGCTCATCCACATGCAGCCTGGATGTACTACCCACTAGATTTCTGAAGTCTGTTCTGAGCAGTCTGTTACCTTCACTCACACAGATAGTAAACATGTCCCTTCATTCTGGAATATTCCCAAAGGCCCTGAAAACTGCAGTCATCAGGCCCCTGCTAAAAAAGAGCAGTCGGGATGCCACTGTACTTAACAACTATCGTTCCATCTCAAATCTGCCATTTATAGGGAAAGTCCTTGAAAAAGTTGTCTACCTACAGCTTACTAGATTTCTTATAATCAACAACTCATTTGATATGTTTCAGTCCGGCTTTAGACCCCACCACAGCACTGAGACTGCTCTCGTTAAGGTTACAAACGATATCCGGCTGAACACTGACGCAGGCAAAGTCTCAATCTTAATCTTGTTAGATCTGAGTGCTGCCTTTGACACTGTCGACCATGAGATCCTCTTACAGAGACTAGAGGACTGGGTTGGCGTCGCTGGCACCGCCCTAAGTTGGTTTAGGTCTTACCTTGAAGACAGGAAGTACTTTGTGGAGATTGGAAACTGTGTCTCAGATCATATGGCCCTGACCTGTGGAGTACCACAGGGGTCGATCCTGGGACCTCTTCTGTTCAATCTCTACATGCTGCCGTTAGGTCAGTTAATACGCAGAAACAAAGTTTCCTATCATAACAATGCAGACGACACTCAGATCTATGTCTCACTGACTGCAGGAGAACATGGACCAGTGGACTCACTCCTTCACTGTATCCAACAGATCAGTGAGTGGATGCAAAACAACTTCCTTCAGCTAAACGCAGACAAAACTGAAATGATTGTCTTTGGTCCCCAGAAACAAAGAGAGAGCGTCATCTGTCATCTACAGTCTCTCTCCCTAAAACCTTCAAACAAGGTCAGAAATCTAGGGGTAATACTGGACTCAGACTTAAATTTTAATAGCCACATCAAATCAGTAACATCAGCAGCTTTTTACCATCTAAAAAACATTGCCAGGATCAAAAACATAGTGTCTAAAGCAGACTTGGAGATTCTTATCCATGCATTTGTCTCCAGTAGGTTAGACTACTGCAATGGCCTGCTCACAGGTCTGTCCAAACAGGCTGTAAAACAGCTGCAGTACATTCAAAATGCAGCAGCTCGAGTCCTGACTAGAACCAGGAAGTACGACCATATTAGTCCTGACTAGAACCAGGAAGTACGACCACATTAGTCCTGACTAGAACCAGGAAGTACGACCACATTAGTCCAGTTCTCAGGTCTCTGCACTGGCTTCCGGTGGCTCAGAGAATAGACTTTAAAACAGCTCTGCTTGTTACAAGTCTCTCCATGGCCTCGCACCAAAATATATTAGTGACATGTTAGTCCCATATGAACCAGCCCGGACTCTGAGGAGCACAGGGACTGGACTCCTGCTGGGACTCTGAGGAGCACAGGGACTGGACCCCTGCTGGGACTCTGAGGAGCACAGGGACTGGACTCCTGCTGGGACTCTGAGGAGCACAGGGACTGGACTCCTGTTAGTGCCCAGAGTCAGAACTAAACATGGGGAGGCTGCTTTTCAGATTCATGCTGCTAAAATCTGGAACAGTCTTCCTGAAGATGTGAGACAGGCCTCCTCAATGACAATGTTTAAAACCATGTTAAAGACAGTTCTGTTTAGCTGTGCATACAACTGAGGGATTTTATATTTTTATCTTCCTTTTTATTGTTCTGTGATTATTTATGATTTTATACTTTCTTATTTTGTTCAGCACTTTCAGTTGCCTTGTGTATGAATTGTGCTTTACAAATAAACTTGCCTTGCCTTGCCAGGGTCTCTGGTGCTGGTCCCGGTGGCAAACCCCGAACCCGGTGGTGGACACCGGCAGTAAGGGATGCCGTCAGGCTGAAGAACGAGTCCTATCGAGCCAGGATGGTTTGGGGGACTCCTGAGGCAGCTGTCCAGTACCGGCAGGCCAAGCGCATCGCCGGCAGTAAGTCAGACCTGTTCCCGGTGCATGTTGACCTCCGCCAGGGCTGTCCTTTGTCACCGGTTCTGTTCACTGTGTTAATGGACAGAATTTCTAGGCGCAGCCAGGGGTCGGAGGGGGCCGGTTCGGGGACCACAGGATTTCATCTCTGCTGTTTGCGGACGATGTTGTCCTGTTGGCTCCAATGAACCAGGACCTACAACATGCACTGGGACGGTTTGCAGCCGAGTGTGAAGTGGCTGGGATGAGAATCAGCACCTCCAAATCTGAGGCCATGGTGCTCGACCGGAAAAAGGTGCCTTGCCCTCTCCAGGTGGGTGGAAAGGTCCTTCCTCAAGTGGAGGAGTTCAAGTATCTCTTGTTCACGAGTGAGGGAAGAATGGAGCGTGAGATTGACAGGCGGATCGGTGCAGCGTGCGCAGTGATGCGGTCGCTGTATCGGACCGTTGTGGTAAAGAGGGAGCAGCGTCTGCAGTCAGAGCTGACTCGGACCGTTGTGGTAAAGAGGGAGCTGAGCCGAAAGGCAAAGCTCTCGATTTACCGGTCAATCTTCGTTCCCTCCCTCACCTATGGTCATGAGCTTTGGGTAATAACCGAAAGAACGAGATCGCGGATACAAGCGGTCGAAATGAGCTTCCTCCGCAGAGTGGCTGGGCGCTCCCTTAGAGATAGGGTGAGGAGCTCGGTCACACGGGAGGAGCTCGGAGTAGAGCTGCTGCTTCGCCACGTCGAGAGGAACCAGTTGAGGTGGCTCGGGCATCTGTTCTGGATGCCTCCTGGACGCCACCCTGGGTAGGTGTTCCGGGCACGTCCCACCGGGAGGAGGCCCCGGGGAAGACCCAGGACACACTGGAGGGACTATGTCTCTCAGCTGGCCTGGGAACGCCTTGGGGTCCCCCCGGACGAGCTGGAGAAAGTGTGTGTGGATAGGGAAGTCTGGGCGTCTCTGCTTAGACTGCTGCCCCCGCGACCCGGCAACGGATGAAGCGGAAGAAGATGGAATGGAATGGAGTTGTTGTGGCATGTGTGAAGGGGATGAAGCAGAGTACAGGGAGGTGGGGGCTGCTTTCTCAGACTGGAGTGAGAGAAATGGACTGATTCTCAATGGGTCCAAGACCAAGGAGATGATCATCAACTTTCGCAGGAGCCCTTCCCATCGACCGGTCACGGTAAATGGACAGGACCACAGACTGGACCGCAGACTGGACTGGGAGTCCACCTGGACCACAGTCTGGACTGGGAGTCTACCTGGACCACAGACTGGACCGCAGACTGGACTGGGAGTCCACCTGGACCACAGTCTGGACTGGGAGTCTACCTGGACCACAGACTGGACCACAGACTGGACCGCAGACTGGACTGGGAGTCCACCTGGACCACTGACTGGACTGGGAGTCTACCTGGACCACAGACTCGACCGCAGACTGGACTGGGAGTCTACCTGGACCACAGACTGAACTGGGAGTCCACCTGGACCACTGACTGGACTGGGAGTCTACCTGGACCACAGACTCGACCGCAGACTGGACTGGGAGTCTACCTGGACCGCAGACTGAACTGGGAGTCCACCTGGACCGCAGACTGGACTGGGATTGATTGTCTTACAATATTTTTTTTTCTGGTTTAGTTTAGTTTATTCCAAGCCGGTACAATACAACACAAGATAAAAAGAAATACATTACGATGCTATACAATATTAACACAGTATCTATCTATCTATCTGTTTATATGTATGTATATGCATGTATATTTGTGCTCTAGTCAAATAATCGCTCACTTTTATATGATATTATTATATAGTGAAATTATGATTCAATATCAATCAGCTAAATAATTTTGTATCTACTAGAATATAATTTTAATACCATACTATAAAAATAACCAATAATATCAATGATAATAATAGACATATAACACAGTAGACAATAATCAACAGACAACACAATAAGGGACATAAACAAAACATACTTCAGAGCCATGTACCATCACTGAATGTTGTTTTTATTGTTGGCTTAACTTTGTCAATATGATTTTTACATTATTACATTACTTATAGGTAATGTGTATGCTTGTGTTGAATGCATTAAAAACACAGGTTCTTTTGTGAGGTCACATCCCGAGATGCACTGAGATGTCACTACCCACCGGACCTGGTCAAGTATGAGGTCGATGCATTTATAAGGCAGGCCTTAAAATGATATGGTCTTCTGTTCTGAAGAGCCATTACTCACGTGTCCTGCAGGGGGCGCTGTCATGGCTGGTGTGGTGCATGGTACAGGCAGAGAGACGACTGACAACAAAACCCATGTGTGTTAATTATTAAACCACGTGTTATATTCATATCATTACATTTATACTATTTATTAGTTTATATAGTATGGTTATATAGAATTAGTCTGTTGTTTTATTTTTCTAAGATATACTATCCTGTTATAACATTTCCTTATCTTCTAGAATGCACTACATTTTATTGTGTGATACACTATTTTATTATTAATAATGCACCTAACCTAACCCTAACCCGTTTCCGATCGTACACCCTTATATTGTGACCAAACCTTTTCCTTGTATTTAGCTTTGAATTGATGGATATTTGAACACTTTCTAAATTGTAGCTCCAGTTGGTTCTACGTCATGGTGCTACGTCCCTTAGGACTTCGCTAGTGGGATATCACTCGTGACCCCCAGGTCACGCGCCAGAGAGATCAAAATAATTTGCTCCAATCACCAGCCACCATCCTCTATAAATGCCCCTGCACAAAGCCGCACCCCCTCTTTCACTCTGGCGCCGATTGAGATCTACACAGTTTTCAATTATTACCAGAGAAAGATGTCTTCCGATGCTCGTCCGAGTTCCCCTTCGCCCTCCGGCGTCGGACGTCGTCGTTGCTCGACATGTCGAGTCAGGCTCCAGCGCACGGACCAGCACTCCAGCTGCTTCATGTGCCTGGGCCCGGGCCATGCGGCGTTGAGCGCCACCTGCACCTCGTGTCTCGCTCTCCCCAGGGAGGAGAGCGAACGCAGGCGTGCGTACCACGCCGCTGCAGCGCCCCGTCCGGACTCCTCTCAGGACGAGGAGTCTGAGACTAACTGGGCCCCACTCGACCTTCCACCCGTGCCCGCGGAGTGGGGTGACTGTGAGGACGGAGAGATCTCGGAGGTCGGCTCTCTCCTCACGCTGGACGAGGTGGTGTCGAACCCGGAGCCGGACCGCTTCCCACTGGACCACATGCCTGGGCTCTACTCCACTGCGGCGGCCATCATGGATGCCCCCCTGCCACCGCAGCCGACCCAGAGGGTGGAGGACTTCACCTCGGGTTACGCCACCACTCGAGGGAGGAGGAGGACACAGCCCACGTTGTGCCCGCGGATGGACCCGATCGGCCATTACGCGACACGTGAGTGGCCAAAGCCCCTAGCGGCCAAGAGGCCCGCTTTGGGCTACGGTATGTACTGCAACGTGCAGGACTGGTCCTGGACCGGCGAGGTCCCGGACATCGAGGATTCGGTCCGCATGGCCCTGCACCCCTCCGCATCCGTGTGGCCCGGCACCAGACCTCTCCTTCCCTCCGAGCGGGACAGGACGTCTTTGGCTATGCACGACAGATGTTACGCCAATGCGGCTCAGGTCGTCGCTGTGGCGAACAACATGGCCTTCATCACGGGGGCCCTGGATAGGTCGCTCTCTTCTGGCCAGGCGCTCAGTGGAGACACCTTATCTCAGGCGAGGACCACTTCAGCGGCGATCCTGCGCATGTGCCAGGCGCTAGCTGTCGATGGCGGCCGCACCATGGCAGCAGCTCAAGTCGGGGCCAGGCACCTCTGGCTTGGGCTTGCGAACATCAGAGAGGCGGAGAAGAGGCAGCTGCTGGACCTGCCTATCTCCCAGACGTCCCTTTTCGGTCCGGACATGCAGACCCTGGTGGCTAGACTGGAGACCGCAGCCAAGGACTCGGCTAGCCTAGCCCAGCACCTAGCGCCGAGGCGCGAGGCCCGCCCACCAGCGCGGAGCCGAGACAGAGGCAGGGAGCGTTCGCCCGGGAGGCGCCCTGGCCCATATCCACGCTCCATGGCCTATGGTCCCCCCTCGACGAGGCCCCCGGGTCCAGACAGACACACGGGAGGCTCGCGGGACCAACGCACCCACCGCCGACCTCCCTATCGCAGAGGAGGTCGGGGTGGGAAGAATTCTTTCAATAAAAGCCGACCGGCATTTCATAATTACTCGCTGTCTGAGTCTCATTTGGGGGTATGTAACATGTCAAATGATCTGAATTCTGATTGTGTTACTTCTCGAGCACATAACGTTGCTTCGCTAGGCCTGCAGCCCCCAGAGCAGGGAGTGCAGTGCGCTACGCGAGCTACGAGCTCCGACTCACTGGTTCAGGCTATGCCCTCCCAGAGAGAGGTCAGGCGGAGGGATCTGGTGAGTAGTGGTGTGTGTGCTTCGGCCGAATGCGTGTTAGCATCTCTGAGCTACAAGGCTAACACGGGGTTTCCCACTCCAGGGGCTCGCCCCCCCCTCCATGAGGCAAGAGCCAGGGGGGGGCACAGCAGCCGAGTCACGTGTGATGAGCAGTCCCATACTTATGACGTCGGGCCTGCAGGACACGTGACCGCCCGGCCCTTTCGGCCACCCCCCCTCCCTGCTAGGAACACCAGGAGAGGGCGGGGCCGTGACGTCTCGTGTTCCAGCTCCCGTTCCGCCCCTCACAGACTTCTACAGCATCTGGAGGGAGCAGGGTTTGCTGACAGATATATGGCTGGAGAAAACTTTGCGCAGGGGTTACGCACTGCAATTCTTCCAATAGCCACCACCATTCCGAGGCGTACGGGCAGTACGCTCTCAGGTACGGGGATCAATGGAGGCACTGCAAGCGGAGGTCTCCTCTCTGCTGAGTCAAGGCGCGGCAGTGGAGGTAGACCCGCAGGACGCCACCAGGGGGCTGTACTCCCCTTACTTCTTAGTGCCAAAGAAGTCAGGCGGGGTGCGTCCCATTCTGGATCTGCGCGTGTTGAACGAGTGCATTTCCAAACGACAGTTTCGGATGCTGTCCACAAAGCAGCTCCTCGAGTGTGTCAGGGAGGGAGACTGGATGTCATCCATAGACCTGACAGATGCGTACTTCCACGTGCCCATAGTGCCAGAACACAGGAGGTTTCTGCGCTTCGCAGTGGGAGAGAGGAATTACGAGTACTGCCGTCTTCCCTTCGGTTATGCACTCGCGCCTCGGACTTTTTCCAAATGCGTGGAGGCAGCACTGGAGCCGCTCAGACGCGCAGGGGTAAGAATTTTAACCTACATAGACGACTGGTTAATTCTGGCATCATCCAGGGAAGTGGCCGTGAGCCACACGCACTGGGTCCTGTCCCACATACAGCGTCTGGGCTTTGTGGTGAACAGGGAAAAGAGCAAGCTGCAGCCAGCTCAACGCATGATTTATCTCGGTCTGCAGTTGGACTCTGTGACATTCCGTGCTGCATTGTCCGTGGACAGACGGATCAATATTACCCGTCTGGCCCGGGAGGTTCTGGCGGGCCCCAGAGTCCCCGCTCGGCGCCTCAGGTCCCTGCTGGGAATGATGGCGGCGGCTCATGCTGTGGTGCGGCTAGGCCTGCTCCACATGAGGAATTTTCAGAGGTGGTTCTTGTGCCTCAGGCTTCACCCCTCCCGGGACGGGGGGAGGCTGATCTGGGTTCCCCAAGTGGCAGCATCGGACATCAGGTTCTGGCTCACTCCGGGTCTATTGCGGGACGGAGTGACTCTGGCCTGCGCCGTGTCTCACGTGGAGGTGTTCACGGACGCGTCGCTCGAAGGATGGGGCGGGGTCCTCGGCCAGAGCTCTGTAGGAGGCTGCTGGTCGGACTCAGCCCGTCACATCAACCTGCTGGAGATGGAGGCAGTACACAGGGTACTGCTGCACTTTGCTCCTCAGCTGCAGGGGAGACACGTGATGGTTCGCTCAGACAACACCACTGTGGTGTCTTATCTGAACAGGCAGGGGGGCACCAGGTCCCCCGCTCTCCATCGCATGGCGACGGTGACGCTGCTGTGGGCGGCGCTTCACCTCCTGTCTTTCAGGGCGCGCCACGTCCCGGGGGTCCGGAACGTGGGGGCCGACAGGATGTCCAGGGGGGGCCCGCTCCAGGACGAGTGGGGCCTGGCCCCGCGGGTAGCTGCGGAGATCTGGCGGAGGTTCGGCCGTCCAGTGGTCGACCTTTTCGCCAGTGCAGAGAACGCACAGTGCCCGTCCTGGTTCGCTCGCCGTCCGGCCTTAAGGGCCGCGGACGAGCCGCCCTTAGGCGTGGACGCTCTGGCTCATTACCCTTGGCCAGGCGGCCTGCTGTACGCTTTCCCACCGGTGCGTCTCCTGCCGGTCCTGCTGCGGAGGATCGAACAGGAGAGGAGGTCGGTGATCCTGGTGGCTCCGGACAGTCCGCATGCCCGGTGTTTCCCTTCCTGGGGGGCATGGCGGTGATGGAGCCCTGGGCCCTCCCGGACGAGCTGGGGGCTCTAGTCCAGGGGGGAGGAGCCCTGTT